AGGTCAGGCCACGGATGAACAGAGAAGAACAACTAAAGACAAAGGGTCTCCAGTACTGTAGGTGATCAGAGGTGCACACTTTCCTTCACCACTTCCCTCCAATTCTCTTAATTTTTATTGTTGCCGAAAAAAAGTGTGTGGGACATAGCCTGACCATGAAACAAATATAGGTAAAGAGCAAAATGCTTACCAGAAAAAAAAAAGTATTGGTTAGATATCAGGGAGATTTGACCCTAGCTGGCAAATTCTTAACTCTACAAATATTTAAAGTCATAACTATATATGCTTATTTATTCATAATTCATAAGGTTTTGGGATACTAAAAGTATTTCTAATGATGGTTGAATTTAACAAAATATTTTTAACCTCATCTTAAAAACATCTCATTCAATGGCAATACCAAATGTTAAAAGGATCATATAAACAAACATGTACACAATTGCAGTTTTCATAAAGATCTATTTCATTATCATTGAATAGTTAAACACATTCAAATAATGTAGAGATGACTGCACAGCTGCAGCACTGGTAACAAGACAGCCAATTCAACTAGAAATACGTAGCTGTCTAAATATTTAAAATGCAGCTCTTGTTTAGCTCATCCTTTGTGTGTTTATAAAAAAAATTAATTTTAATTGTGATTTTAACACAAGTCTACAGAAATTGTTGCACATTTTCCTCCCTCCCCCTTCCCCAGTGTGCTTGCTTGCTCGCTCTCTCTCTTTCTTTCAATATTCATTCATTGTTGCACAATAGATCGTCCTTTGTTTTGATCACCATCATGAGGGGAGTGGGAGAAAGCCTGCCGATCACAGTGGAAATATATTAAGGCCAAATCTTCTAATATCCATTCCCAGAGGTTTATTCAGTCAGATGAAGCCTCCAACTCCAAATTAGCGAAAGTCTAAATTTGTGGTCTCCAGCATTAATGCTCTTCCATCTACCAGAGTGGACAATGTAAGCTTCACATGAGGCCTCAGAGTCTGAGTGTAGCCCACTCTAATTAAACCAGAGTTGCTGACTTTTGCAGAAATGGAAGCAGAGTGATCCAACTGATATTTAGCAGCAATACCAAAACAAGTGCAGTGGTACTTGTGTCCAAACCAGCTTTACTGAAGTGTCAAGATCTTCACATACTTCCTGATAAATTGATCCTCCAAATTCTGTCCCATAATTGACATTAATGTGTAACTGTAAGTCCCCGGTCTGGTAGCCCACAGTAAAGTTATTCCTTGTCAGCTCTGATCTGGGTACTGTCAAAGGGCAATTGGTATTTGGCAAGCCAGCCCTGATAATGAAAGACAGCTGAACCATGGATTGCAGGTCCAGCAAAGTCAAAGTCAACAGGACAGTCAAGGTTTATACATGTCTTCTTGTAAGAAGACTTGATTTTACCACTTTTCCCATGTTTGGTGAGGTGCTATCAAATGTCAATTTCAAATCTCGGCAGACCTGATCTTCAATTGTGACTTCTGTTTCCTAGAGTGTGATCAGCATTCCATTTTTCTGTGTAAGTCAGACAGTACTCACACTATTTATATTTAGTCTCCAAGGTTCCAGTAACTTTGCCTGTGTCTGAATTAGATAAACCAGATGTTGAGAATTCCACTCCACTTTAGGACTTTGTTTTCACATCTACTTTCACCAACCCAAAACCAAATTCTTCATTGAAAATATCTCTGGTAGCTTTGCCAAGGTCAGCATAGGATGGAGGAATGTACACTGGCCATGCAGCTCTGGCTGTAGTTCACTGTGGCGAGACCAAGGGAAGGGGTGTAAACATTAGTCTCCTAGAGGGGCCGCTGAGCCATTCGGCTGGCAGTTGAGGCCACTTAGCTTGCTCAAAGCCAAGCTGCAGCTGCTGTGGCTGGAGGGCAACATGAAGGAGATCCCCTACCATTGTTTCAAACACTATGTTGATTGCTGCCAAACTCCACATCAACTCACTGCACGAAACAGTCCTCCACGCGGCAGTAGAAGCTCACCAGTGCCTAGTTCTCAGGAGGCAGTGGGAGGCCAGCCACTTGGGGCAGGCCTCAGGGGGCCCCTTCTTTGTGCGTTCACAACCTGCACCTACCTGGAGCCTCTATAAAGGTTCCTGGTCCTTCACCTGCCCAACCACTCATGAAGTGGGTTTCCCACCACCTGTCTGCAAGCTCACTACGCTTTTGGCACCTGCATATAGACTCCTGTGAGGTGTAGTCCTTTGGCTCACAAGTCGCTTCCTTCTACTTCTCTCCTGTGCTCTGACAACAAGCTGAGGTCTCAGTGAAAAGTGATTCATTTGTTTGTGAACCCGACCCTAACAACCTACTCATCCCTCTGCATGTTGGGTTCCTTCCAGTCTTCTTCAAGCCCCAAGTCAGTTGCATCAAGCAGAGACTAGAAAGGCTAGTGGTGTTAAACTTAGAAGCAGAAGACAGGACTCTATACACAGATATGTTTGGTATATAACAACCAAAAAAGCCAGCTAGACCTGATCCTGGAGGCTAAAGGGAGATGCCTGATGGTCCATGTACAGAAGTAATAGTGATTATACATTCAAAACACATCTGTGTTAGTGGGAGTCAATGTGGGACAGATCATGAGAGTGATGGAGAGAGGAGGGCTCCTAGCACATCTTCCTCCTTACCAAAGAAATATACTTCCTATTAGGCAGCACTCCAAAGTGCTAAAGGGCAATAATGCCAGTTTAAAGACCAAGGTACACCTGATGCAAGTTAGGGTCTTTTCAATGACTTCCTATGCATGTTGGACAATGAGTAAGGATGAAAGAAGAATCAATGCCTTTTAATTGTGAGTGGAGTAATGAATATCCCATGGACTACCAAAAGAAGAAAAGTCGATTTTGGAGGAAGGGCAATCAGGGTGTTCCTTAGTGGTATGGATGGTGAAATTGTCTCACCTACTTTGGACATGTAATCAGGAGGGGCCAGTCCCTGGACAAAACCATCATGCTGGCAAAGTTGGAGAGAAAGAGAAGCAGATCCTTAACATTATGAACTGACACAGTGACTGCAACAATGGGCTCAAGCACATCACAGCCTCAGAGGTGGTGAGGACGGTGCATGACAGAGTAGGGATCACATCAGTTGTTCACAGGGCTGTTGTGAGTCATAGTTGACACCTAATAACACACAACATTAGGCAGCATGGATACACAGGAGGGATAGCCTCACTTGGTAAATGAATGGTTTCTAATTCCCATTGTTAGGCACTGGAACACAGAAACCTACCAATTGCATTATCTACTCTTGAAATAACTGATCACGCCTCACATAGAGGTACTTTTCACTCCTACTTCTGACTCCTGTCTCCCACTTCTCTGCCTGGCATTCTGCTTCCTTCTTCTTCATAGTTAATGACTGCAAATTCCTGACGTCAGTAGCAGAGTGCTGGAAGGGACAGAATGGAAATGAACCCTGAGAAAGGAAGAGGGAGCTAGTCATGTCAGGAGAGGTTACAGCCTCTCTCCTCTCAGATGCCTGCCAGGCTGCTACAGGGAACCAGCTCTCCCGCTCAGAGAAAGCAAAGGAACCCCTGAAGTATGAGTTCCAAAGCCCCCAGACTCCACTGAGTGTGTTTATAATGGTGATTACCAGGCTCCCCAGCCTGCACCCTAGTGATCCTGTGAGACCCAGGAACATACAATTTTAACACCCCAGTGATTCTTATACTCATCAACACCAGGACACTTATAACTTACCACACAACACAGATCTCTCCAGCAAGTCTTTTGTTCAATATTACAATCATCCAATGCATGTTGTCACAAAGAACCACAGTCAAGGCACAAAGGTAAGAGGAGAAGAGTCTGGACAAAGCTCTGCTGAGGTTGTAGGAGGAACTGAAATGTCCTCAGTAAACTGCAATCCCTTCTCCCAATCTTCTGTCAACTCTTGACCCAAGCAGAGATAACCTAAGTCACTATAGTTTGGTTTGGTATGCATCAGTTTATATCTTTTGATAATGCGTATACCCTGTAACATGTTTAATTTTCCCTAATATGAAAATAACTTGCATTTTCCAAAAAGGGGAATGCCAAAGGGTGAAGGACAGCAACAAACAAGCAAGACTGGTTCCTCTGAACACAAGTTCCAGGTCAAGTGCACACAGGCATAAGGGAGTTGCTTATCTGGCCTTCCATACTCGTTTCTAGCCATTCTCAGGGTGAGAAAGACTTCATTATCTTTCTCCCTTTCTGGCATGGCCACTTCAGCCAGGTAACAAGGTTGACAAAGTAAGAGTAACAACCTCAAAGTCTTCTTTAAGCCTCAGGTTTTAGCTAGAATACTTTTTTCTAAAAACAGATTATCTTCCTTTTAAGGTTGGGTGTTTTTTTTTTTTGTATTTTTGTGGAGGGAGATGGGGACAGCAGTGAAAGAGTAGAAGTGTTTGCAGGATCTCTTCTACTTAGGCTCTGGAGAGGAGGAGGACAGACTTCTTGGAGACACCAACAAGTCAGCTCTGTGGAAAGACTAGCCAAGGACCTGTGCTTCCCTGCCCTTTTTTTACAACTGCTCTCCCTCTCCCTGATTCCACATTTTTATTTCTGGCCAAACTTCATAATGGTAACCTTAGCTTGGGAATTGTTGTTATGTGCTGTCCAGTAGGAAGTAACTTGTAGCTGACCCTCCAGTGGGTTTTCAGAGGCTGTAAATCAACAGGAGGAGATTGCTCGTCCTTCTCCCATGAAGCACCTGGTGGATTGCAATGTTGTGCCTTTGGGCTGACCATGAAATTCCTTAACACTTACCACCAGTCCACCAGAGCGCCAAAGAAATGTTGATCCTTAACCTTCCTTCTAACCTCCTTAATTCCCAATCTTTTCCCCAGCAATATTCAACTTTTTAGAACCAAAACAGCAACTGTCATTCATCTTTATTCAACCTAGAGATATGCAGGTATCTGTGACCTTCCTCAAAAACAGACTATTCTGGATCAAAATTCAGACTCATTACTGTCAAGTAGATTTCTACCCAGAATCCTGGGAAAAATACTCTTACGATCTTCCAATAGGACAAAGTTAGGATGAGCAGTCTCAGAAGCATCACATTCATTCGTGGGAGAAGCTAGAGTAGGGAGCTAGATGCTAATCACCCTCCCTCTTCCAGCCTGCCCTCTTAAAGGCCACCAGAGTACCATGGATTGGTAAACTTATCAGTCTAGGATGTCAACTAAGAGAAGGGAAGGAACAATGGCTTCACTTTTCACCCTATCCTGATTTAACCAGAAAATGATCTCTTGGTTTTGTAAGAGCAAGTGGTCTAGGTTTCAGCATAGTCCTTTCTCCTCCCCATCTCTGATAATATGTACCTCACGATATGAAGAAGAGCATAGGGAAGGGCCAGAAAGAATGGAATGTGTTAAGGATACAGAGCAAGGCAGAATTATCGTCTGGAGATAGAGACCTTGTGTTTGTCTTCTTTCTTGGAATAGTGTGGCTTATATTGTCTTTTCCTTACATAAATATTAAAGGCATTTCCTTTTATTTGTAGGACTATTCCAGTTTAGAGAGGCTTAGTTACTCTACCTTTTTCCTCGCCCCCCTTGTAGTGTACTGTCGAGTCAGACCTGACTGGCACAGGAGGAACTAACAGAGGTGGATTCAAATCGCGTGCATTTGGAAATTGTAGAACAGTTTTTTGCCACTAGGCCACCAGAGCTCTCCAAGTTACTCTACCTTCTAATGTAAACAAGTGACTTAACTTCTCTAGGATCCTTTTTAGTTAAATATGGACCTAAGGGTAGATTACACATAAAACTGCTTCCCCCTTGATTTCTATGACTTGACTGAGGACACACTATTAGGTAAAGAGTGAGGTGAGTGTGAGCACGGGAGTGACAGAGGGGTAACTGAAGCCTAGGCAAGGTAGGACTTAAGGATTTTGTTTGCTGATTCTCTCTGCTAGTTTTCATTTGGGAGTAATTCACCCATTAGCTGGTTAAGGATCCTCCTCAGGGGAAGGTACTATTTTCAAGGGAAACTGGTTTCCTCTTTAGCTGTATGGTTACAGAAGTCACCTCCATGGTCTTCAATTTCTCACACCTTGAGGTGGAAGAGAAGTCATGGACAGCGGGATGCTCCAGCCAAGGAAGTATTTTGGTGTTGCTGCCTTAAAGGGAAACTAAAATTTTATACCTTGTAATTTCCTTCCCCTTTCTTGAACATAAGCAGATAACTGGTTGGTAGCCTAGTGATAAGAAGCTGTGCTGTAACCCCAATCTACCAGCTGCTCCATCAAAGAAGGATGGGCCATTTCCTCCTATACAATTTACTGCATCTAAAAACCCGCTGGAGGGTTGGCTATGAGTCGATTCCAACTCTATGGCATACAAGAAGAACACCGTTTTTACTAATTTATGAAGAGCCAGATGTAGTTTCCTGGACAGAACCTTACCTTGTGAGTGAATTTTCTAGTAGGGAGTTTCGATTTCATGCATAATGATAAACATCTTTTCCTGCTTCCCAACAGTTTCTTCCATATATCCTATTTGTACCTATATATACCAGAATTAACTCTTGAGTCTACATGATTATTCTCCTTACTAAGCAAGGCCCAATGATTTATCTTCTAACTGGCCTTCTGAAGTAAGGGATATTCCATCTCCTGGAATCTCAGAACATTTGATAGTGCTTATGTGAAACCTATACTTGGACCAGGAGGCAGTCATCAGAACAGAGCAAGGGAAACACTGCATGGTTCAAAATTGGGAAAATACACTAGGGATGTGTCCTATCTCCCTATCTTTGCAATCTGTATGTGGAACAAATCATCTGGGAGGCTGGGCTCTATGAGGAATGTGACATCAGGATTGGAGGAAGACTCATCAACAATCTATGTTACACAGGTAACACAACCTTGCTTGCTGAAACTGAGGAGGAACTGAAGTGCTTGCTGCAGAAGGTCAAGGACTGCAGCCTTCAATATGGATTGAAGCTCAACATCAAGAAAACAA